GACGTGTGCTCTTCCGATCTTAAGTATTTGCAAGAATTTCAGAAAAATAAGAAATTTTAAGATACATTTCATTAGATCAACGTCTGATCTAATAAATTGTATCTTAAAATTTCTTATTTTTCCGAAATTCTTGCAAATAATTACTGTTATCCAAGTTACCTCACTATTCAAATTACCCGGTTGTATCCTATTTGAATATCTAAAACATTCAAAATTTTTAAAAGTAGATTATCAATGTCTATGTATAAAATAGAAATTAATTAATAACAAAAGTAAAATCATAAAAAAAAATATATTTTTCAACATTCAAGACTGAAATATGTGAAATACTATTCCAATACTATTAAAAATCCTTTAGTTTAGAAAAATAAAATTATCTGTTTGTGCATAAAATTAAAAATTATATAATAACTATGTATGTGCAAATATGCAATATTAGAAGAAAAAAATATTTAATAAATATTCTGGAATAATTTCATTATATATTTGCAATAGATTCAATATTTCTTATTCTGAATCCATCGCTATTCTCATTTCACACTCACTTTAAAGTGTACTACAGAAAATTTTGCAACAAAGAATCATTTATATCATTATACGCATTTTCTCTTCTGCAAACGTTTGTTCTTTATTTGTTAGTTCTTATTATACGTATAAGCACACACCGCTCTTTGTATTAAGAAATGTATCTCAAAAGAACGATTTATTCGCAGATGCTGGTTGGTGGTGCTGTTAGCTACGTCGCTGGAAAGCAGGCGGTTCGTACGGTTTATTGGCGAACTGCGAATAATGGTCGTCTTTTGAAGACAGCCAAAACCTGCATGTTCCAAGGACCACCTAAGCCTGCGAGATCGTCAACCGCGGCTTCATCGGCGTGTCCCGCACAGTCACATATGGACCTGATACCCAAAGCTATTTAGAAGCTACGAGGAAGCCGCATGCCAACATATATGAAAGCTATTCGTTATATACGGCAAACTGTACATAAAAAAAATTATTAATTATTTAATCTCAAAATATGCATATTTATAAAATATTATGACGATGCAATAAAGCAAACTCTTATTTATTTATTCTAATAAATATGTGTTTTTTTTAGTTTTAATCACACATTCATCACAATCACACACATTTATTTTAGTATTATATTTTTATAGTTCGAGAAGATTGTAAGATGATTGCGCTAATTTTAATAACAGATTCTTTGACGAATTTGAAGTCAATTTTTCTTTAGCAACAGTATTAATAATTTTCGAGTTACTAGTAGATAATAAAGAAAGATTTTTGACGGATTTCACTTTAGGAAAACAAATTGATAAGAAACATGATTTGTTAGCACATTTCTAGTATTTCACGTAGTCTTGATTAAATAGAAGTTTAATTTCCACTTAACTGCGACGTTAACGTATATCTGAGAATTGCAATAATAATGATGATTTTTCTCAATATTTCCACCATGTACAAATTAGCTCGGATTGATCTTTAAAATTTAAGTGCGTTTCATTTTGTCTGAAGTTCGATTTGTGTATAACGATCGAGAATTCAATCGGATAAAATTTGGTGGCGTCTGTTCTCCTGCTCGTCGAAGGGAGACAGAAAGGAACGACGACAGATTGCGGAACAATGAAACGGGAAGAAAAGCAAAAATAGTATCTGCCGAAAGAGACTAGGGAACGTCGATATATGGCATTGAGACAATATCGCGTCGGCAGGGGTAGTAAGAGGGTAAAAGTTACGCCGGCGCAGTAGCATGTTTATTGATTTTGCAAGCAAAGCTGCCCCATACAGCCCCCGACATCGATTCGACCGCGAAGGAAGAGCCGTGCACCGGTTTGACAGTCGATATAATCGGAGAGTCCAATCCGCGGAGGTGCGAACGAAACGAGTGGAACGGCTGCTCGACGGTGAACGGATCGCGCGGCGCGTTCTGTCCGGTGCGCGAATGTAAACGACGGCTCGCGGCGGCTCCATCCGGTGGCGACGGTGGTCCGGGCAATTATTTACCTTGAAAATACGCTTCGACGGGTGAGCATTTCCGTGTTCCCCCGAGCGAGAGCGAGCTCGAAATCATGCAGAACTATGGACACGAGGATTACGACTATGGTGTGTCGAACGACGCCCAGCCGTCGGGCAGAGTTCTCCCCCAGATGCCGGGGGGCACCGCCAGGCCGAAGGTGGACCCGCAGGCCGAGGGTGAGGTCGATCCCACCATGTACCCCCAGCCGAAGGAGGCCACGCACAAGATTCGCGGTAAGAGCGACATCCTGGAGTATCTGTTCGGCGCCGTCGACCAGGAGCTCCTCACCGTGAAGACCTTCTACTTTTTCTTCTACTCGGCCTTCGGCTCCCTGTTCCCGCTCATGGGGGTGTATTTCAAGCAGATGGGCATGAACGCGGGTCAATGCGGCCTCCTCATCGGTCTCAGGCCGTTCATCGAGTTTATGAGCGCCCCTTTCTGGGGCTCCTTGGCCGACAGGTGAGACCATGCTCCTTTCCGAACGAAGTATGTGTGCATTAGCTTAACGCATCAAAAAGTTGCATAGTCACTGGACTATAGCACTACATGGTATACCTCATAGAAAAGATAGTAGTATAGGGTAGTAGTATAGGGGATAATCATTTTGTGTGATATTATTTAGATTAAAAATAAATGCTAACCAAGAAAGCTCTCTTATCAATTTGAGGTCATTAATTTTTTTAATATTTGAAATCTGCAATTAATGTTTGTCACGCGTGATCTTTGGTCGAGAGTGATTCGATCGATACGCAAAAGTTGCGTATATATTAATCTCATGTATTTTTTTATTACGTAATGGAACCTATTTTATTATAAAATCTATTAAAATAATTATAAAATAACAGATTTACCTAAAAAAAATTTATACTAATAATATTTCTGTATAATTCAGAACATTTAACGTTCTAAAACGTATAATTTCTCTCTCTCTTTTTTACAATCTCACTTAAAAAATTTTTTTATTTTTATTATCTCACGCGAGATAAAGAAATTTTGTTTAAATGATAGCTGTTATCTTTCCAGCGATATAAAATATATAATTTTAATAGTATCATCGACATTTTTAATAAAGCCAATGACACCTGTTAAAAATTGAAAAGAATTTTTATAATCATTTCACACAAATTAAGAAATACAGAGCAAAGCCTCGATTATTTAGAAAAACAACACAGGGGGGTCTGGAAACAATATTTGTAAAATCTAGGTCTTCTAATTGTAAACAAAACAATTTATCAAATCTTTCCGTGAGAGTTTTTGCTCGCCGAGCAAGTGCTCTTATCACTCGGCTATCCAGAATGTAATAAGGCCAGGGACACGCGAAAAAAAACTGAAACTGTAAGCAACAAGCGAATTGACCAGCAACGAGCGTTCTCTTCCTATCTGCCTTTCTGAGAATATTCACATTCAAATTCAAAAGAGAAGATTTTTACATTTCTTTTTATTTTGTCCGTAGATGGCAAAAAGGCAAACTTCTCTTATTGGCATCCCTTTCTTGCTGGATCATTTTCACTCTGCCATTGGGCTTCGTTCAGCCTCCACCCACCTCTTGCATAGTCAAGCGAAACGATACTCCTCCGATCTACTATCTGGAGGCATCCAACAGGGAACAAAGAATTGTAAAAAGATCGACCGACCTGGAAGAATTGTATTACCCTCCAGAGAATAAAGAGGAGTACCTGGAGGTCGCATCCAACGTCGTCTTCGAGAGATTACGACGAAGTACGGACGATAACGAGATATATGATTATATGAAGAAATCGAACCCGAAGGAATTTAGTGCAGCATTCGGAACATCTTACGATGTTGAGAGAAACGGTGTTAGAGATTTCGATAACGGCGGTTCTATTATGTACGATTTGAGAAATAACAGAGTCAGAAGACAAACGTCCGTCACAGATAACGACGATATCGGAGATCTCAGGCACAAGTCACTACCTGAAGGAAATGTCGATGCGAGTGGAATCGACTTGGAAGCGTTGCAAACGAAAAATCGTCCAGCCGATGTATTGGAGTACAAACGCTTCATGAATGTACTTACTGTTTTTTGTTTTATGCATGACAATAAAATTTACGTGTAACAGAACTATGCGCGTATATATATATATATATATATATATATATATATCACTAGTTTTTAAATTTTTCCATAAAATACTGCGCGTTCTGCTTTAAAAAAAAGTTATTGTAATTTAAATATTCCTAGCGTGTGTTCTTTGATATTATATAATAATTATAAAGTTACATGATTACATGCACATTAATAAAATGCGTTCGTTTTTTGTAGAATGAACCGACGGCTGACAGAACAGTCCCGAAGAAGGCTTACGTTCACACGAAAACGCGGGTGAAGCCGCCACCAGAGAAGATAATGGTAAAACGAGACGTGGAGAAGCAAACGTTCTTGGACGAGGATGACCTGATCAAAGCCGATGACAATGAGGAAGAAAGCGAAAGAAATATGGATATGCCGTTGATGAGGAGTCGAAGGAGCATAAGAATGCTTCACGGACCGATTGGACCTCAGCTGTCTCCTCTATCGGTTACATACGCCGCGAATTATAACCAAAAGGATAATAAGGAATGGGTGAAGCCGCTTTTCAGTTCCATAGTCTACAGATTACCGGTAAGTCGCAAGTCTGACTCTGATTTTATTACGCAGTCCTTGAGAATAATATAATTTGTATCTGTAAAGATCTGCAGACAGAAGAATAATAATTTAACAATGCTGATTAAAGTTTTTGATTACGTGATTTTAGGATATTCAAAAAACATTCTTCCTTCTGCTGTTGTTGGTAGTAGTCGGCGAATTTTTCTCGGCGCCCGCGATTACGTTAGCCGATTCAGCTGTTATTACTTTACTCGGTGAAGACGCCGACAGGTAATATAATCAGATTAATCAGTATGTCGTTGAATAATGAGGCAATTTTGTTTTTTTTTATACTAAAACACTTTCGAGAGGCTAATATTTACGTTAATTACTCATAAAGTTAATTAATTATTTCAAATAAATGTATCCGATTTTCCAGCTTTAAGACATTGCATTTGATAATCGTAAAGTTAATAAATTTTAACTATCAGATATGGTCATCAACGTATGTTTGGAAGTCTTGGATGGGGCTTGGCCATGTTCTTCGTTGGAATCGCTCTCGATCATAGCACCGCGTTCCCAGATCACCCCTGTAAACCTGACGAGAGAGAGAAAAATTACACGATTTGTTTTGCGATATTCAGCGTTTTAATGGGTGCCGCGTTGATAACAGCAACGCAAATTAATTTTAAATATGACGTTGCTCCCGCTGAGCCGGTGAGTTTATTTCAATATCTGTATATAAAATACCACTGCTTAAAAACTGTATGAAAATCAATAGGGTTGAAACGACTTTTTCGTAAATACGTATTTCTCGCCTGATAAACTTTCTTTTTGTTCTTCCTTTTTAATTAGAAAAATAAATTTTAAATCAACTGCCTACGGGATTTATTAAACTTTTATTAATTATGTTTCATATACAGGAAGTAGTAAAACCTCCGGCTGAGCCAACGCGAGAAGAGCAACTTCAAAGTCAGTTATCCCAGCAACTTAATCTGCCTGGGCTTCAGGATTCTTCCGCCGCTGTAGATCCTAAGCCTCCGCCTCCCGAAGGGAAGGTATCTATTTTTTATCAAGATGTGTATAAATAGAGAGCATTACGTTCACGTAGTATTTATTAATTAACCAAGTGAAACGGAAAGGTGAAAACATGCACGCGCTTTTCCAGCTTACTTATCGATCGCGTGTTATTATATGAAGTAATCTTATGAATTATCAACATCACACGTAACATCTCTCACGCTCTAATGACTTTCTGATCTTAGACCAAGATGTTCGCTCAAACGATGAAGGAAATACCGGAGTGGGTGACGGTATTGAAGCAGTTCAAGGATTTAAAATGCGCGTCGTTCCTTTTCGTCGCGTGGTTCATGGGATTCGGCATCGGATTGATTTTCACTTTCCTGTTCTGGCACCTTCAGGATTACGGTGGTTCGCCGACTCTCTTCGGCGTTGCGTCTGTGATCAATCATATTTCCGAGATCTTCGCGTATTTCTTCAGTTTCAAACTTATTCGACAGATCGGGCACGTTAAGGTAAACAAATTTGTGAGATTAATCACTTTCAATTTATTATCAAGCTATGTGGAAACTATAACTAATTAAATTTCGATTATAAAATTACATGTTAGAAGCACGACTCTTTATGTCTCTAATTTCTTTAACAAATTTAATACTTTTAAAGTTAGAAAAATCTTTTCAAGAGCGATTGCGCGATTTTAATCACAAAACTGTATTAGTACCCGATATAGTTTTATACCTATCTAACTTACCTATGAATTTTCACTCAATGTAATACTTTTATACAACAAAAGACTAGAAAAAAATTTACTGATCGTGCTATTTTTCATGTTCGTAATTATAATGCGTATTTCAGGTATTGTGTATGGGTCTAGGTGGAAATGTACTCCGATTTCTATACATATCTTGGCTGAAAAATCCGTGGTGGGTATTACCCTTCGAGTTCATTCAGGGTATCACGCACGCGGCAGTATGGGCGGCATGCTGCAGTTACATCGCTCATAATACACCGCCGCAGCTGCGTTCGAGCGCGCAGGGCGTTCTTCAGGGACTTCATCACGGGCTTGGAAGAGGTTGCGGTGCGGTAATCGGTGGCATGTTCGTCGCAGCTTACGGTAAAGCTTTCAATATTCAGTATCTCGAGATAAGATAATACACAGACGATTGACTTGATACTTCAAACGACTTCAGGCTTACATAATATTTTTCACGTATTATAAAAATTATTTAAACTTCTGTTCAATTTTTATTACGCAATAATATCGTACTAATTTTTTTGTGACAATCATCGTTTATCGAGTGTCGATGTTTCGATGTGCAGGTACGACTACGACTTTCCGAGCGTACGGTCTCATCTGCATCATCGTCCTAGCGGTCTTCGTGTTCATTAATTTCTACAGAAAGGATACCGGCTTCGTATCCGAGCTGCCACAAACGGAAGATCCGCATCAAGTGGCCGAGGCTACCCACTTGGCGCCGCATGGTGTACCGAGCAACGCGATACCGCGTGCCCTGAGTTCCACGCGCTTGCACGAACTTGCTAATCAAGATGCTGGCTACGGGGCGACTTATCAGACCGCTGGTGGAAATCTCGCGGTACCCGGTGCTAACGGAGGTGAGGAACTATTCCACTAGGAAAGTAGAAGTTGTCTCTGTGAGCGAGACGAGTGATATTTTACAATCTCTATAGACTGTTGGTTACTTTGAATCTGACTTTCTAAACTTGTCTGGTCGTCTAAAATTCTTCTAATTTTTTACCGATTCGCAGGCCCTGGCAACCCAACGAATCCATTCTTAAACGGCGGAGGTGGCGGCGAAGGTGGATATAATTACGGTATGACTGGCAAAGGAGAGGACGAGTATATTCGTAGGAGCTTCCAGGTTCAGTAAAAACTATTCTCATTAAAACGTCCGGCAAAGAGAGGACGCAATTCTGTCGATAAAAAAAAAACAAACAGACAAACAACTAAAAGAAACAATTAAAAACGGAGGAAGACGCTGTCGGCTTTATTTGCCCGCTTCTTCTATGAGAGGCTATACACACTCGCTGAACAAGAAATCCTATCTATACTTTGCCATGAGAATAAAAATTAATATAATTCCAAACGGTATGCGATTACACAGAGAAAACTGATGACATGTAACTTTCCTGTTTGATAGATCTACAGTGAAGTGGTGGGTAGGGAATTCGATGTCGTAAAACCAACTATCCAACTACACGCCCAACAACCATGCACCAATCCCTTTCATCAACACGACTACGACTGGTAACGACTCGATCTCTCGCGATGCCGCGGGTTGTTCCCCACGACTACGACACACTGAAATGTGAACGGGAAGACATTACTGAACAAATAATAAACGTAAATATAAATATCCATACGGATAGGTGCGTATGCGTGCATAGGAGAATCCACGTGCAAAGTACATATATACATATAAGATTATTGATTAATGAATTACAGCTCGAATAATTCTATTTAAAGTCTTTAACTTATTGTTAGAGTCGACTTTTTCGTAATCGGTACACCGTGAACGATCATTCATTATAAGATTTTTAATATTTTAACGATCAGATATATGAATAATGCTCTTTTGTAATTTAAACAGTCGTTGAGACCCACACAGCATAAAATATTTCAAAAATATTTCCAAAATATTTCATGCAAGATTTGAAATATTTGAAAATATTTCATGAAATATTTCTGAAATATAAATATGTCTAGGAAATCAGAGTTTTCGAAATATTTTTTGAAATGTTTCAACAGAAATATTTCTTACGATATTGGCACAATATTTCTAGAATATTCTTGTGAAATATTTTAATGTAATAATTTATAATGTTTTGCAAATGTTTACGAAATATTTCAAAAAATGATTCACAAAAAATATTTTATGCTACGTGGGGATTGTTAGCTGCGAAAAGATTGAATCTGATTCGAATCTGACAAAAAAAATGTATCGTTCAGCTGGATTGACGCGGTTTCCTACATGTGCGTGCGTTGCGCGTGGAGACATGATACGCATACGTGCGTGCGTGTGCATATGGACGTGCGTATATGGTCGCCTTTACGCCGTATCGAGATATACGAGATGTGATAAAATATCTGCGGACGAGCGGAAGAAAAAGTGAAACTAAACGCGTCTGATGTTCCCCCATTTGGTTTGATCTACGAAATCGTACAACGGTCTTGCCCCCGTCACCCCTTGACTTGCTCGTCTTTCTTTTTTTAGTTATGTCTGCTGCTTCCTTCTGCCTCGGTAAACGGATATTCACGAGAGTCTAGGGTATCAGGGAATTAGTGGTAAGACTAAATCCAATTAATCGAAAGTGCCTATCGAAAGTTTCCTGATGCCCTGTGATGCGACATGTTACTTCTATTTTTGCCCGACGGTTCTTCTTTTCGCCTTCCCGTATGTACGAATCAAGAAGGAAAAAGTAACCCAATTTCGAACAATGTCGAATTTATTCGAACAAACGTTGTTTGATTAGTAAGACCACGCTTAAGAAAGTGTCCACAAGAGGCAACTTTCTATTGTTCGCGCGAATATTTATTTCTCAAAATATCCAGAATATAATGGTAAGAATATATATGCATCAGAAGTGTCATGAATAGAAGTTTTTAACGCGTTATTAATTTTCCTTAGATTTATCACGTTTGAGTCCTCAAAATTCTATTAGGATTGAATGATAGTTTTCGTTTTTAGAGTTGTATTAATAACGTTTGTATAACAAAAGCAAGTTAAAATATCTTTATAAAGCATTATATACATTTATATTATATTGTAATATTATTATATAATTGTTTTACGTTGTTATAGATGTATGTTATAGATTTATAAATACCGATTACGTTTCATAGAAAAATATTCAAGTAGCAATTGGTGTTTGCACTAAAGCAAAATATCTATAGCGCACTCACGTTTGAAAGAGTCAGTCAAATGCACTTAAAATGATAATCGTTAAGAAAATGTAACATACAAGATTTTAACGAATCGTGAGATCTCATCTAGACGAAACGCATCTAAAAATCGGCAGAAACTAAATAGAAAATTAATATATATATATATATACAAAAACCTGAGAGGCCTGCAAGGTTTGATACGACAAATACGAGTATCGTAATAGATTCATTGCTCTCTCATCGGTGGCATAATTTAAAAGAAAATGTACGCGTATGAAGCTAAATTAATTGAAGAGACAACTCTTGCGTCACCTGTAAATATTCTACACGCTCTTAGGTATAGACTCTACTATTCACACTTGTTTTCTGTTTTCTAACAGATTGTTGATCGTTATTTACAATCCACGTTACGAGACTATCCGCATTAACTTCTTAGAATCTATTATTAAATGAACTCTATCTATTAAATACTTTTATTGTATGTATAAGGTATATGTTGTGACAACATTGTATAATATTGTTGAAAAAAGAAAATGAAAAAATTAAGTAGTAAAAAATATATATATATATGTATATATAAAATGTAATGTACGGTGAATATTCGATTGTGTATACCTATGTATCGTGTATGTTAGCAGGGACGTTACGCTATAATTAGATTCATACCACGAAAATAGAATCGAACTGTTAATCTGCTCCTACATACACTTCTTGTGGGGATGTTTTACCTATGGGGTTGCTAGCTCATATATGCGTGTTAAAGTGATCTTTCATGGCATATTGATTATTTCATATGTTTAACATACGTTACGTTGTTGATATAGTTGAATCATGTTAGTTATATCTTAGACATTCTCCCCGATTAGACTTTTGACTGGATTGATTTCAGTTGGAATAGACGGTAACTTATATTAAGTTGCGATATGAACATAATTTTGCGTGCGATTTCTTCGAATTGTCACTGGATTGTCGTAGAGATCTTATATCTATCTTAGGTGCGTTAAGTATACGCTTCAAACTTGATATTTTTCGAGGCTCGAAGTATCATGTATCAATTTTTACCCCCGCAACACATCCGACGATATATAAATAATGCTGCCACCGCGGCGACATAAATCATGCACTAAACTAGTTCTTCTGACACGACTTTAACCGAAATCAGTTTAATGTCATCATATAGGAATTGTAACGTGCGTGTAAGAGAAAGAGAAATATGTATAAAAAAATGAGTTGTAAGTATTATTGTAATCCCTTTTCTTAGGGAACGGTAAACAAAAAAAAAGACAGATACATTTTCGAGAAGATGGTGAACGCAGAAAGTGTGCGTAAAAGTTCATATGTAACGACATATCATGAAACATCATGCGTAGGCTTAGTGTAGTAAACATCGTATGCTTATGATTAAGAACAAGTTTCACTTGCACTTACAATTGATTTTTATTCCATCCGTCGGCCGTTATATCTTTCATTAAACTTCCCTTTAATTCTTTAATTAATTTTTGTATTTTTAATTAATTTCTCGCTTTGAGATGAGAAATAATTAATTTAGAAGGTATAATTCCGAATTTTTTGCTGACCAATCTTTAATTTAAATAGCAATATTTAAATAACAGTCCGCATAAAGGCGAGGCGAGATATTGATTGGCCTGGCACACACATGACGAAATCCTACACTAGAGAAATGGTCATGGTTGCACTTCAATGGCGAAATCCTACACTAGAGAGGCGGTCGGGGTGGTCCCTATCCCATATGTACTATTGTATATATGGGAACCGAAGAAATGGCGATGTAAGAAAGGTATCATTTAGATATTATTTAGACATTATTCAAGTATTATTTTAGATGCAGTCCACTTAACACTATAAATGCTTGGAAGTATTTGATTAACCAATCAGAAAAAAGGATTTTTCTAATTGATCAATAAAAAAAATACTTCGAAGCATTTGTAGCATCAAACGGACCGTAGTTTTGTCCACATAATAGACATATAATTGAATGCATCAATGCGATACATTGGAATATAGCAAACATACAGCGTAATCAATATTCGTTCTTTCGTTCTTTCAAACCTTTATCTAAATGTTCACTTTACATTTTTCTACAATAGGAGTTTTAGATTATTTTAACCAATCATAAATTTTAAATCATAGGAAATTAACAATCACATAGTCGAATGAGCTAGGAGAATAACTGATTACTATGGTTGAATAATTTCTTACGACTTAAGACTTATGACTGCTTCCGTAAGAATAGTACTCACCTGACAGTCAAATTATGCTTTGGTTTGCATCGAATCAATTGATATTAGATCTTTAATAAATAAGTTAAGATGTTGAAACTCAAAGTATTGGTGCAAAATATCGAATATTAAATGATCGTAACGATATTTCAAATTATCGATACGAATCGGAACATTCTTTCCTTAGCGATTGCGCCAACGTTATTTTGAACTTTAGTGAAGCTACGTTTGGAGAGCGCGCTATCAGCGCTATTGTATCTCATTCTATCATTGTTTTATAATTTTTACATCTAATAAACGATAAAGATAAAATTATACGTTCGCCGAATGAAACCTAAATCAAATCTCAAAATTTGAGAGAGAGAAGAGTTTTAAACTTCGCTTAAGGTCAAAATAATGTTAGTGCAATCAGATTCAAAGATCTGAATGTATCGATCATGTAACTTTTTTCCTAAGGGAAAACCGTGAAAATTTTTACAATGAAATTAGTTAGACAAATTTTTTATTTTCTGTGTTTCTTTCATTCTAGGGAAAAGTTCCGATTTAGGATATCGATACCCCAGATTTTCAAATCGTTCGGTCATGTTCACTTTTCTGTTGTAAAAGTTTCTATTCAAAAAAGAAATCTTCATCGAAAATTCATTAAAGAGCAAGAAGAGCTGTAAATCTGCTTTGCTTCGGATATCTCCGTGAACTTGTACTCCTAAGATGTGAAATTGTACGTGTATAGGTCGCTATTGAAGAGAGAGAACTATTTAGAAATAAACATAGATAGATGTTTACATTTATCTCTCGCTCACGCTCGCACGAGACCTAGTCGCCCTTCCCGAATCCCGACGGTGAGTCGGTAGATCGTGGATGAATGTGCGCCGGTGAAGCCAACGTGTCGATCGGAAAGCAGTTGCCCGTAACAGTAGCGGCAATTGTAATTATTTTTTTACATATCCCGGGCATCGAGCAGGCGATACAGAATCGTATCAATTTGCCGTTATCGTTATCGTGCGAGCAATATATTTTTTTAAATTAATTTAAGATAAAATACGTTAGTTCCGCGACACTGTTGTGTATCATTGAGTGAAAACGTTGGTTCATACATAAGTCTGTGCTGAGATTCGTTTCCCCCCACCCCGCCCGCCCTCCGTTACAGCGATAATTCTTTTCTGTTTCGGCGTGTGTTTATGAAATGAGTATACTTGTACGAGAGGACCTCTATGAAATCGTCAACACAGTGACGCGCATTGCCGTGCCGCGTTCTGCCCTCGTCCACCACGTGTGTAACGTCACGTGGCGTGCTCATTTATGCGGCCTCCCGCGCAAGGGTTTGTTACGGAAGCTACAATTCCTGATCAATCATCTGGATCTACGGACTATCATCAAGTGTTTCAAGCAGCGACTTTTCGCGGACGATCCGGACATCCTCTCTATCGGATACAACGAGATCGTCCGACGTGGTCTGCGCGACACCGCATACGTGGAAGTTATAGTGAAAAAGTATGAGCAGTTATACGGTAAGCGGGTGAAGGATCTCTTGTTAACATATATGTACCTAATAACATTATAACAACTTCCTAAATTTTAGAATTCTAGATTGAAGTGCCACTTTACATATGTTACTTTCTGTTTATTAATATTATTCTTTATACGGTATATTGCTACTCAGGTAACATGCTACTATTTGTAGAATGTATAATCAGGTAACATTCTTCTACCTGAATAGTGAGTGAAAAGATAAAGAATGTGTCTCGATCAACAAAGTGTATTATATTGTGATGACTAAGAGATTGATTGCTAAACAATGCAAGCAATCGACGGACAGAAATTTAATTAAAAGATATCGAAATTTCTCGATTTTTGCTAAATACAAGTGTATAGAATAAAATTAAATAATTGAAGCTTCAGTCGACTTGTGTAAATTTTTTGAACTAAAAAGCATAAAAAGAAGTATAAAGAAGTACAAAAAAGCAGAATAATAAAAGTAAATAAAAGATACAAATGTACAGTGATTTTTCAAGCTAAAATTTATAAATTTTTGGGGGATTATTATGTTATATTAAAATTCTTTAACGTAGAATTATTTTTTATAATAATTTTTTTAAAAGAAATATGTGTAGAAACGCAAAAATTAAAAGGCACTGTGGTCACAATCTCGTATTGACCCTATTTTCATTTGTTACGGTTAAAAACATAGCCAACAAAGATATTGTTAATTGCAATATTATTCACACGATGCTCTCTTGATTTATTAAATACGACATCGCATTTCGGCAAGGTGGTTAGTAAAATCGAAGAAAGAAAAATAACTCAATTCAAGGAAAATTCCTTACAAAAAAAACCGGCCCAAAGCCGGAATTTACGTATTAGTGTTCTGGAATCGTGTCGAACGAAGATATATTAGAAATTTTTGGTCGAGACACGTTCCTTTATCTGTTCCTCATCACTACTCATTGTCGCAATTTTACCTGGGTAGCAATATCATATGAAGTAAAATAGTGATCAATAAAAGTAATATATATGTAAAGTAGCAATCTAGAATTTTAAAATTTGGGAAATTATTATAATGTTACATATTAAAATTTTTTAATTTAAAATTATTTTATAATAATTTTTGTTAAGAGAGCAACTTTCACGTGTAGAAATGCAAAAATTAAAAGGCGCTTGCAGTATCGTATTGACTCTAGTTTGTTATAGTTAAAAACGCGATCCAAAATTGCAATAGGTATTATTCACACGATGCTCTCTTAAATTTTTAATACGACGTCGTGTTTCGACAAAACGGTTAGCGGAATAAAAATAAAAAAGAAAAATAAGCTGATTCAAGAGGAAAATTTTTTTACTGAAAAAAAAAAACGATTTAAGTCAACTGATTAACTGTTAGTTCTAGAAGCGAGGCGAACAATACAAATTTCATTTACAAAAGTCATTTTATGTGAATGTTCCAGCAATATATTACATTAAAAAAATAGAATAATTATAGTAAATTGAAGGTATAATGTAAAGTGATACAATTGAATTTAGAATTTTTAACTTTGGGGAATTATGTTATTATATTAAGGTATGCCTAATAAATGTATATTAAGGTTAATTAATTAGGATTATTTTATAATAATAATTTTTATTAAGAGAGAGAAAAACTTCCGTGTATAGACGTATAATGTGTAAATATTATTGTATAATGATTTTTTTAGTGCAATATTACACGGGATCTTCTAAAACTCCGGAAAAAGTAAAATATCTTGAAAACAATTAACTGTAGCGAAAAATATGTAAAAAACAAAGTTGTAGGGCTAAATAAAATGCCTATAACGGTGATAAAAGTTTGACTTTGGGTGGAGTCGACAAAGTACGTTGTAAATGTCAAATTGAATTTTTTTAATTTCTTTATTTCAAGAACTTTCCAAAACATTATAATGAAATTTTTTCGTTAAATGCATCTTGAGTTATGAGACTTGAAATTTACAATTCCACCTGATGGGCATTGCTGGCGTCCATGTATCCGAACAATGGCTAAAATCTTTTGAATATTGTTTTAAGATCATGACCTCGACATATATCAAGATTAAAGCTCATCGGAGAGTGTTCCTCTTATTTTCGTTTTTAAAAATTATTTTTATTTAAAAAAAAGAACCCCCTACAATTAACTTTGCTTCTTAAGTAAATATTTTTCGCTATAGTTTATTTTCGAGATAGATTTTAGCGTTTTCAGATGTTTAGAGGAAAAAACAATATTTTTTTACCTGAGATGTGTACTTAATCCCCAATTAAACTCATTCACGGATACATCAAATCGAAGATTTCGCCAGAATCCCTTTGCGCACGTTGCACAAGCGGCGTGTAATACACGGAGGATAAAATCGACTTGGCTTTAACGTCTTCGGAAATGTCTCGTACAGCAGAAATTTTTCATCGTTCCAACATGGAACGTTTACAACAAAAGCCAATAAATGTCTGTAAAAGAGAAATACGTGTATTATGTGATTGAACCGCGGGGAATCGCCACAAGGGTCGTTTTGCTCTTGCGACCGAGAGTGAAACGCCAACGGGACCTCGAAAGCACGAGCAATTTTTTGATTTCTTCTCTTTTTTTTTTAACATTGCAAAGAGCGGCGTGCGCGTGATCGTTTCGAAAAAAATATCTCTTAGATATCTCCGATATCTCGTTGGTTTTCGTACCTCTCTTTTATCCCTTCTCCGCCCTTTTTCGTCCCCCGCTATCAGCGCGATGCCCTGCGCGCGTTGCACGGTTGCGCCTCGCAGTGCGGAGAGACACCGGAGTACCGGACAGTCCGGACACCGCTCGCAGCGCCCGAAAAACGCCATTTATATGACCGACGTCGGTAGGTGCGGGAGTGTCGCAGCAGAGAGCCGAGAGCGCGTGAAGGAATCGAACGCACGTTCGTACTGTCGTACTCGCAGTCACGCGTCCCGTCTCGTCGCGAACGTTCTCGAAGCGTGCCCTTTTCCGACGACGAAGGGTCGTGTGTCTCGCGAGGCGGGGGCCCTCCTCGACGGTCGTGCGACATTTCGGCTGCGGGCCACCTCTCTGGGGGATCAGGTTAGGTCGATTATGCGAAAAAAAACGGCAATGGCGCTGCGGATTTTCGGGATGCCAGAGTAGCCGACGCGGATGTTTCGGTCGCACCGTGACACGCGGTCGCACGTGTGAACGCGCGCGTTGTGTGTTATTTTCGTGGATTTTTTTCCCCTCGCGCCACCTCCCCTCCGCCCCTCTCGAGCGCGTAGGAGCGCGGCACCATGTCGAACGGGCTGGCGTTGCTGAATAACAACCAACAATCGAGTCCGACAAGTACGGCGAGATGGCTCTATTGATTTTCCCCGCGGTGCACTCGCGGTGTGTGTTTATACGGTCCCGTTTTATTATTTTTCTCGCTTTTCAGAATGCGACGCGTCCATGACTCCCGCTAACGGTAATACGCTGCTGGAGAACTCGCCGAGCGGCCACGCGGCGCAGGTGAGTCGAATTTCAATAATTCCCCAAAAAAATGCGGAGCGTGCCCACCTTCTCACCTGTTAGATGAGAAAGATACCTTTGCGCGCTGCCCCGACAAAAGTAAGAGAGAAATCTCGCTATTAACAGATTTGATTGAGCCAATAGTGGGATCTGTGATGGCCAGGTAGAGTTTTTTTAATCAGACTTCGAACTCATCCAGACTTTTTCATCCAGACTTTCTTTTTTTTTTTTAATAAACCTGGTGTAAAGTATGGTCGATTAAACATGCTTGTACGACAGCATTTTTTTTAATGCAATTTTATATGAGAGATGATTTCAATTGTTCATTTCAATTTCTAGAATTATTATATAATCTAAAAAAATTATATAGAATAAAATATTAAAATTAAATATTAGAATGGAATATTATTATTACGTAGAAGTTATATATAATCTAAATCAAGTTTGCTCAAATCTGTTAATATTTGAGATCAAAATTTGTGTAAACAGAGCGTCTTGAGGTAGAAAACGTTATGTCTTGAGATGCTTTTTTATTGATTTATTATTAATTGAACAAAAAACACGAAATGTTGAAACTAAAAAAAAAAAAAGATATGTATTGTGTATATAAGCTTGTTTGTGTTCGCGGATATGAAATTCCCAGTAATTTTTGCATTTAAAATGAGATAAATATTCGGGCATTAAAGAAAAAAAAAATGAAAACTTTAAGTGCAAAAAAATGCAAACAAAACAGGCCTTGTATTTGCTCAAAACCACGTGTTTAAAGATGGTAGAAATTAGTTCGAGATCTCGATCGAATTCGAGAGAGAATTGTGACCAAATGTTTTTTGGTCGGTTAATTTTCTTTTCCTTCTCCGTCCGATTTTTAAGCATTGTGAACCAATACTGACAAATCATTGAGAAAGAATGCTAGGCATTCAAAAGTCGATGTAAATATTACATAAAATATTTTCTATAAAATAATACAGATAAAGATTATCAATAGCTTTCAGATCGGCGTGGTAATCTCGTGTTATCATTTCACCAAGCAAGTTTTCAGTTTCTTGAATTAACATTTATCAGCTTATTAGTAAAAAGAATTCTAAATTTATATATTCAACGACAGTTCTTTCTCTTTCTTTAGTTTTTCTTTTCTTTAGTTCCTTAATAATGGTAAAAAGCTTGTTTTGCGATAGATTAATTGATGTTAGAAAAATAAATTGAATGATACTAGCAAGCTTCAACAACAACAAAAATTGCAAGTTCTTTTCATGTTTCCGATATCTCATGCTGAGGAATAAATAAAAGCTAATATTCAGGGAGTTGAAGTAAAATAAAATAAAATCTGTGCTCAGTGTAATGTAATAGTTGTAATTGTTTTTTTAAATTTATCTTGCAGATGGGACATGGAAATTTACCAAAGTCTCAAGTTCTCAAGAGAACTTCAGAGGCAGATGTAGAAGGTATGTTTATATGTATCCGTATCTATATCTAATGTTTAATATTTATTTGCTAGCGCAAAAGTAATAAACTTAAATTTGTTACTCAATTAGATATTGTTAGCGCGAAAAAGCGCCATAAAACTCCACAACCGAAAAACGCAGTATGCGCGTTGAACGAGCTGAAAACTGGAGCCACGTACAAAGTAGTGGGGCAGACTGGGCCCACACACGCTCCGACATTTACGATCGCGGTACAGGTCGACGGTCAGACGTACGAGGGGAAGGGGCGTACGAAGAAGAACGCGAAGCAAGCGGCAGCTGAGCTTGCTCTACGAAACATAATACAGTTCAGAAATACACCTGAGGTTCACCAAGCTATCAATACTTCCCAGCCGGTTGTGCCTCTCGAGCCGGACTTTACGAGCGACGTGACGGAACGTGATAATCATCTTGTCAATGCATTTAAAACGTTACCGCAGGAGCCAAAGACTACTAGGGTTTTAGATAAGGGTCCCGTGGCGTTGATCAACGAGCTGTATCCGGGCGTCACGTATAACTGTATATCCGATAGCGGCGAGAGCTATGCGAAGTTCACGATATCGGTAACCATCAACGGCGAGACGTTTGAGGGAACGGGCCCAAGTAAGAAGGTGGCGAAGGCCGCGGCGAGCAAAGCCGCCTTAGCGAAATTGCGAAATGTCCACAGTTCCTCGTTTGCTTACGCGACCTTTCCCGTTCGCCTCAATCTTCCCTCGCAAGAGCAAATGGGCCTGTCGCAAATGCTAGCCGATCAAATTGGCAGGATGGTCAATCAGAAATTTAGCGAACTTATGCAAACCAAGCAGCAACACGCGCGACGTAAAGTTCTGGCTGGTGTGGTGATAACGAGAGGGCAAGACGCGGAACTGATATGCATCAGCACCGGTAAAACATAAATATATTTCATATCTATGATATTTAAACAAAAAAGTCTCGGATCGTCTGTGAAGAATCTACTAAAATGTCTTTTTTTTTTTACAAAAGGTACGAAATGCGTCTCGGGCGAGCATTTGAGCGTTAGCGGTGGTGCTGTAAATGATTGCCACGCGGAAGTGATAGCACGACGGTGTCTCTGTGAATATCTTTACAATCAACTGGATTTGCACATCGAAAATAAGGGTGCTGAATCGATCCTCGAGCCGACCAAAAAGGGATTCAAATTGAAGGCGGGCATCCAATTTCACTTATATATAAATACCGCCCCCTGCGGAGACGCGAGAATTTTCTCCCCTCACGAAGAGAACGATACCGTGGACAAGCATCCCAACAGACGAGCCAGAGGACAATTACGTACGAAGATAGAGTCGGGCGAAGGGACTATTCCTGTGAAGAGTAATGACGGTGCAATTCAAACCTGGGACGGTGTACTGATGGTATGTATCACACATTTACGCTAGAGGCAAACACTCGTTGCCAAAAAAACGTTGCGTTTTTACAAAAAAAAAATGCCTGCTTTTTATTGATGTTTTAATTTGAAATCTAATTTAAAAGATATATATATATTTGACTAATTTAAAGGGTCAAAGACTGCTGACAATGTCGTGTTCGGACAAAATAGCTCGGTGGAACGTACTTGGTGTGCAGGGTGCGCTCTTAAGCCACTTCATCGAGCCAATTTACTTCCACAGCATTGTCCTCGGCAGTCTCTTAAATCCGAGTCATATGTACAGAGCGGTATGCGGCCGCATTGAAAATACTATTCAGGGTTTACCACCGCCGTATAGACTTAATAAACCGTTAATGAGTCTAATCACATCTAACGAGATCAGACAACCTGGAAAAGCGCCTAATTACAGCGTCAATTGGACAATCGGTTTGTACACATTCTCGATCTTTCGGAAAGAAATATGCAAGATATGGGTTTTAACGAATTACATGTAAATATATTCTTTATTAAATTGTTAAGGACAAAGCGAAGCCGAAGTCATAAGTTGCACAACTGGTAAAGATGAACTAGGGAAACCTTCTAGGATATCTAAACAGGCATTCTTTAGACGGTTCTTTAATCTCTTACATAATCTTCCGACCATAGACGATGTTGACGAAAATAGTTGTCGCCAGTACCTTGATGCAAAATCTTCAGCACAAGATTACTCGGTGAGTAACTGCATCTTTTGTAACAATACGTATACACATATAAGATATTGATCTCGTTTTATTTCGTTATATACCGTTATATAGCACGTTTTGCCTTTTTTTTCTTGGATAGCTTGCCAAAAGTCAATTGAAGGATGCTTTCGTGAAAGCACAGCTCGGAACTTGGGTGAAAAAACCGCTTGAGCAAGACATGTTCGATATCGATATCTGACTAAGTAGTCAGAGTAACAATAGTATTGCAAAAAATACCAAAAGTTTAATCGTACAATGCGTAATGTCTAGTGCAAAATAGATCGCTCGTTCGGCGTGTCATGATACGGCAGAATTTGGTATCAGTAAAGCATAAATCGTAGGATCTCGCGCATGTATTCTTTTGCGCCCTATGATCTCGATATATTTACAGTGTTCAGAATCTATTACGAGTTATCGGTAATTATTAATAATTTTATCGCGTACGGTTGTAGTCGATAGGAAAATTCGCGTCAAAACTTGCATTATTTTGACTTGTTAATAGCAATAATTGACAAAATGTCGATTCAGCACATATCTATGCCGAATTTCTTAATATTAGCAACTCTCGTATCGCTTCTCGTCATCTGTCTAATTTCATCAGAGATCTTTTTAATTTTTGTTGCACTATATACGAAACAGCTAAAGGTACATTTGGTAAATCTGTACAAATAATCCTTTTCTTGTGCAACTTCGTCATGTTGTGGACATTCCTATTTTATTCCCATTTATCATTCATTTGTATAATATACTAGCATAATATACGTAAAGCTAATCGATTTACGATTTTGAATCTATAGTTTTGAATTCAAAATAGTTTTAAGAGGCAGCATTAGTGTCTTATATACGAATACTTACGACATCCCCAGATAACATTCTACAGTCAGAGATACGCAAATTTTACAGGTAAACGCAATTTTTTTTCCAACAAAATTTATAATTTGTCGTTTAGTACGATGCATCTAATATGCACTTATACGCACGCATGACACGAACATCATGTATCATACACAGTGAACATATCCTTGCGTGAGTGTGCTAGCAAATTAACGACAAATTTTTCAATCACGATCTTGTGTATTCCCATCTCGAAGTATCCGAGGTTCAGAACTTCATTACTCATGAGTTCATCGAAATGCTATCTGGGATCTTTTTGTAGGGCATTAGGTATTGTAGCAACGAATTAAGTTGCACTTTGCATCCTCAACGGCTGTGATTGGATTCAGATCTGATAAATGGGTCTTAATCGTAAAAAGTAATCGTTGCAAAGTTCAGCGGAAAAGGCGGGACAGAATTTCTCCTGGGTAAATTTTATGCTAATTGCAACTTTCCATTACAACAGCGATTTATAATATTTTTTGTTTATTCATTATTCTTACTCAGAATCGGGAAATGGAATCTTTGCTGTACGTACGGAAATATAGCTTTAATCATATAGTTACAGTTCTTTCGCTGTAACTATATGTTATATGTTGCAGTTTTATCTTCCAATATGTTTACGCAAAGATTATTGTTTGGATATTGCGAAAAAATATTCAATAGCAAGGCGTTGTATTTTAATATCAAAATTGTAATGGATTTTTGTAATAGGTTTTGTTGCAGTCTCTTAATTTATATCGATCAGATAAATTTTTATCAAGGTATATTTATAAAAAAAAAAGGTGCATGATTGAATACGCCGCGGACTGTGACTAGAATTAATCTTTCGCATTTAATAAGAGAAAACGATTATAAAAAAAAGTATATGCTTTAATAATACACAACGCTTTACACCATTCACTGTGCTATATTCTTTGCAAGATTCAAAATCACGATTTTTTTTTTTTTTTATAGAAATGCTGCGACAGAATTTTATCTGATTACTAAGATTACGTTTTTTTTTTGTTTTTTTTTTACATATATGTACTGTCCGCAGCCAGTTCAATGTAGTAATTAATTATTATACTCTTTCAATACGTATTTAAATATACGTGTATAGAAGTTGAACGAATGAAATGATTGTTGGTATAGGAACATGATAATAATTACTTATGCAACGTAAATGATGACATAGTTTTTCAGATAAATATGTTAATAAATACTCATAGTATATTTAGAGAGAATCCTAAGGTCATTGCCTCACTGTGCCAGTACTAATGGAATTCTGCCGTAGTGACACACTGCCCGCGTCGGTCCAGTTTTGCATAAAGAACTTAATATGGTTTAATGTTGCGTACGAAAAAAAACCAAAATCTTTAGTTTTAATATATCCATTTGTCTTAGGTTAGTAGAATATTATTTCGGTTAGGTAATTTTTCTAGAGAAAGTATTTAGAAAGAAAAACCTTTAGTTAAGCGTATGTCACACACGCAATCGACTTTACGGTGATCATCGACATTTTTTTTTTACAATTTTTTTTAATACAACGAACTGATATACTTACATCCAGAATTCTCATATTTAGATTGAGCTTGTGAATACGTCACATTTTCAGAGAAAATAGTTCACTCATATAATTGTCTAAAACGCGAGTTCCACTTATCTCTCATATTTCGCTCCTTGCTTCCGTAAAATAGATTGCGTGCGGCGGCAAAGTGTGTTAGGGATATGTTGAAGTCAATATGTGATACCAGTCGTTTGTGCCAAGCGCACCAACAGCTCAACGAATCTTTCTTTGTCTTCTCTATCTGTTTTCTAATGGGTACGTTTCGTCAACAGAGGACGACATAGTTAGATTTATTCAATAGTGAAGGGGGGCTGTCTCTTATAC